CAATGCCAATTGTAAAGCTGGCAGCAGGAAACTTTCCCTTACACCCTGAAATGCAGACTACCATCAGGTGCTTTCTCTTCTGCTTTTTAAATTTAGCTAATTGTCTAAACTAACCCTAAGGATGGAAGGGCTTCTGGTCCTGCTAGAACAGGCAAACAGTTTTAACTACCTCTGAGGGAAGGTTTCCAAACTTGAGAATTAATCACCACGAACACGAGGGACTTACATGTCCATTTTTATTCTTCAGCTCCCCATGGCACAGTAAAGCTTTGCTGCCCTCAATCCTCGGGTCCTTCTGCTTCTCATCCAGGTACTCCAGCTTGTCAATGTAATACTGGCACTCCGACTCCCCCTTCTTCAGGTTGATGTCAGAGAGGACTCCTTGGATTATAGATATCTATAAACCAAAACATTTACAAATGATTAAATAGTGGCCTCTGTTTGTATATCTTCCCTTCAAGTGCTATTTAAGAACCCCAGATGATGGAATCCATGTGGACTGATCTCTCATTTGCTTTCACGAGGGGTTACAGTCACAGATTTGTGTCCACTGAGAAAACCACCCCACGAAATCGCTGAGGGTTTCACAAAGCTCTCTGAAGCTCCAGAATGACATGCTTATGTCAGAACAATGACCATGAAATCACTGTTACTTACGGCTTCTTCCAGAATCTGGATATCGGGATGGTCTTTGGGAGTGTGCCTCAGGATCTCCTTTAGGAGCAGCGGGTATTTGACCAGCCGACTTCGAGGAATGTCCAAGAAGCTCCAAAGGTCTAGCTTGCGGCTGAAAGGAGACTCGAGGCAGCGCTGAAGGAAGTCCTGCACTCTCCGGTCCTGCTTCTTCTGATCCAGAAGTGCTTTGGCTGCCAGCTGATTGCTACAGTAACCTTTGTAGGCATGGAGTCGTGGTAACTGCAGGAGAACAGAACAATGTTCAGGAGTCAAATTCTATGTAGGAAAAGTAAATCACATTAACATGTCAAACTTGGGGAGTTCTACTTCCCTTACTGCGATACCCTGCCCAATAAGAAAAAGCTAACAGACTATCTTGTATGTGTAGCTAGTCTTTTGTGAGAACAAGGGCATCCTGCACGCAATGCCTTTGAAGTTCAGATGTTTGAGAGATTAACAGCGGTAACAGTATCGAAATCCCATCAGTGACAAACAGTCCAGAAGATATAGACATTTCAAACATAAATCAGCAAGTAATTGCAGTCACACTAGTGTAAGTCTCCAGGGTGAAATCGTGGCCCATTACGGCTGACAGACTCCCATTGTTTTCAGTGTAGCCAGGATTTCCGTTTCAATCTTTCGCTCAAGGCCACAAAAGCCCACAGCTTTTCGGCTTCTAGCTTTAAACGTTCTTTAAGCGCATTTTTAGCCTGCTGCCTCGAAGTTATGTACTCACCCACTTCACAAGAATGGGCCCAATCTGTTCCACTGTTCCATCTGGTTTTGTTGCTTCTCCTAAACTTGCCAACAAGTCTGGAATTGAAACATAAGAATAGAAATTGCATCAATGCCCCAGTAAGCTGTTCTAATGTGAGAAAGCACAGGGTTTAACTCTTAGTCAGCACATCATGTGAAAATGATCCAGCTGCTTTTACCTTCATGGAGAGGAATATAAGAATCCAAGTCCCCAAATATGTGGGTGAGTTCCTCCTCGGACATGATAGAGAGTTTCAGCATG